TTTTTTTTTAAAGATTCAAACTAAACGACGTCGTTTGGTAATAAAAAATAAAATAAAATTTGCCAAAGGCGCCAAGAACTCGCCTCAGCCGCGCGCCTAGTCCCGCGGAAACCGCGTAGCCGCCTAGCTCCGCCTAGCCCGCCCGACCGATTTTTCTAGCCGATTTTAGCAAATCGGCGGCGGTGCGCGTCTAGGCGCCGCCTAGGAGAATTTGAACAATGATTGTAATCGGTTGAAAAGAAAAAAAAATTAAGAAATAATATAATATATAGTAGAAGTTATTTAAAAGTACTTCTACATTTAGAAAGACTTCTAGAATTTCTTATGCCACATAGATTTTTTTGTGCCATGTAGCATCAAAATAGAACAATCCAAATACCATTGGAGATGCTCTAAGCTTATCTAACCGGATCCTCAGAGGGTGATTGGATATATGTTATTTTGGATTTGATTAGATTTATTAGATAACCAAAAATCAATTTTGAAAAAAGTTGATTGAGTTAGGTTTGAGTTAGATTGCCACCTTACACTGCAGGCAGAAAAGCCTATTACAATTCGGGGCCTCGGACTCAACCATAACCCCACTCCCCTACATGAGTCATCCGACAGTGCTAAGGCTCGAGGAAGCCTCGACACCCAGAAACAGGGCAGCCTATGGAGACGATGCTATCTTGTAGCTTAGAGGCCACGTAATTTCCCATGCAATTGGAGCAGTAGTTGTGATTGCACCCCAAAATGCTGAATTTTTCGCGATCGGACTTCTCGTCCGCGCAGATCTCGCACAGAAATTGGTGGGGCGCGTCATTGATTCCCGATTTTGATCTCGAGCACTTACCATTGGGGATACTCTAAGCTTATCTAACTGGATCCTCATAGGGTGATTGGATATATGTTATTTTGGATTTGATTATATTTATTGGATTAACAAAACCAATTTTGAAAAAAGTTGATTGAGTTAGGTTTGTGTTAGATTTTTAGTTTGTATTAAAACAATATTAAAATATAATGATTAAAGTTGATTTGATATAAAAGTATAAGAGATGTGATTGAATTTGATAAATAGTTAAAATCATGTGATGGAATGGATATTTAATTAAAATTGATGTTATGTGTAAGGATGATTGAAAGATATTATTTATTTATATTAAAAATATTAATGAGAGTTGAGTTCAATTTAATTTGAATTAAATTTTAAATTATAAAAATTATCTAACCAAATAATTTATAACCAAAGGCCTCACTGTTTCATAGAGCATCATATACTTACTGTTTCCTAAAAAATTATTGCTAATAGACTTGAAACCACTATTTCTCATTGCATTTCCCCCACTCAGACTGCCTTTATCCCAGACAGACAAATTTTGGATAATGTGCAGGGGCGGAGGCACTCATATGAGTTCCCGGGCTCTAGCCCAGGTGGCCCTCCATGCAGTCTATCATTTTGTATAATGGATTTTTTTGTTTTTTGTAATGTAGTCCAGTAGAATAATAACTTGACTTATTCTAACATAAATTTACTCTGTTTTTCATTAGTGGTTTATGAGCTTATTGGCAAATTAAGAGTGTGATTGGGGGCTAAATATTTATCTTAATATAAGAACTTGTTAAGTTAATTATTAATGAGTATTTATGTAATGATAAATATAATAAGTGTTTAAGTCTTCCTAAACATCATGTACTTTAGCCATTTATGCTATATTTAATATCCTAACTATACATTTTATTTTTGTTTGAATATTGTTTATATATTTATTGATTATTTTGTAAAATAATTTACTCATTTCATTTATTTTTCAATTTATATACTTTGCACTAACTAATCAATATCAAATATTCGCGGTTTATTTAGTATTAGTTTATTTTTTATTTAACATTGATTTATGATTATTTTTTGTTGAAAGCCGATCATACTTATAGTTTATCATTAGTACTAATTTAATTTTTATTTAGTGTTGATTTATGATTAATTTAGCGTTTAAAGTCGGTCATAGTTATAAATTAGTAAGGTTATTGTTAGACAGTTATACTTTTATCAGTAAAGCTAAAGTTAGATAGATATAACGGTTAGACAATCATACTTTTTTAAATAATTGACATGCTTTCGACTTGACATGTCGTACACTAAACAACATAAATAAAAGTACAACATTTTATTGCATAAATGTGCAATTTTG